AAGGAAGTAAGATACAAGATTCAGATTTGAGCTGAGGCATTTTTACTCTAAACTTTGAATTTTAAACTGGCTTACCAAAGCTTTAACAACAGTGATTTTGTTTTCCTTTGCTGTCCCTTCTAAGTTCATCTCTCCCAACATTTGAGTTTTCCTAGAAGCAAATCAGAGGATTTGCTTAAGAATTTGAGATATTATTTGGGAGGTGATCTCAGGAACTAGCAATAGGGAAGGGAAGAAAGCCAACAAAAGATGTAGTATGAAGAAAGCTGCCGCTGTAGGTAAACGGAAGCTTAATCCTGCTGGGAAACCATCTGGTAAACACACAACACATACACCGTAAGAGTTATTTCATCCAGAGGTCCCAAGGAGCTCAGATATGTATACACCAATTCTTATCCTTCTTGGTTGACCTAACAACCTAGTTAGTCACAACCTAAAAGTCAACTGAAATATCTTGAAGGGTGTGGGTCAGACAAAGAAATTTTCTAAACAAACCAAAAGTACAAGGGCCCTAAGGCAGTGTGGTGGATGTTTGTTGCTTTTTGGCTCACTAGAATTTATTCTTTCTTCTAATACCACTTCTGTTTATTTGGGGGAGATATGTTACCTATGGTGTAGTCTTAAAATTCATTTCTAGCTGCTCTTGGATTAGCTTTTCTCTTGCCTTCCTACAATTATCCTTCATTTGGTCTTATTGCATCAACCTCCAAAAGAATTGGAAATCATTGTGGTCCATCCTTTTCTACTCTTGACCTTGAAACTAAATCCAAAGCTTCACCATTAAGCATTATGTTAAACATGGGTAGCGTAGTTTCTTTCAGGTTAAAATTTTATTTTCCTAGCTTACCAAGAGTTTTTACGAGAAAGGGTGTTGGATTTTTTCAATGCTATTTTACCATCTATGAAGAGGATATGCTTTTTCTCCTTTAATATAAAGAACTTCATGTTTACTAATATTGTAGCAGTCTTGCATTCCTGAGATAAACCCTAACTTGGTCATCATTTTATCTTTTAGTAGATTAGACTTCCCATTTTATGTATGATTTTTCAATCTGTATTAATAGGGCTCTAGACTCCCCCACTCCAACCTTATGGTCCATCCTCATAATCTTTTTTTTTTTTTTTTTTGAGATGAGGTTTTGCTCTTGTTGCCCAGGCTGGAGTGCAAAGACGCAACCTCGGCTCACTGCATCCTCTGCCTCCTGGGTTCAAGTGATTCTCCTGCCTCGTCCTCCCAAATAGCTGGGACTACAGGTGTGCACCACCACGCCTGGCTAATTTTGTATTTTTAGTAGAGACAGGTTTTCACCATGTTTGTCAGGCTGGTCTCGAATTCCTGACCTCAAGTGATCCACCCACCTGGGCCTCCCAAAGTGCTGGGATTACAGGCATGAGCCACCGCACCCAGCTGGTCCATCCTCAAATATTGCTATCAGTTATGCTAGCCTTGTAAAACATATTGGCGAATTAGTTCAGTCTAATCCAGACTTCATGCATACTGTTTTTCCAATGGATTCTTATCCATTTGCCATTTCCTTAAGGAAGCTCGATTGCATGTTATTAAACCAACTTCAAAGAACTTGTTCTAACTGGCCAGGCTCCCTGACCCCTTCTCCAAGGTATTTTCATTGACATGGTTTTCTTTGCTTTATTTTTTGAGACAGACCCTCACCCTGTCACCAAGGCTGGAATGCAATGGCGCAATCTAGGCTCACTAAAACCTCTGCCTCCCACGTTCAAGCAATTCTTGTGCCTCAGCCTCCCGAAAAGCTGTGACTACAAGTGTGCGCCACCATGCCCAACTAATCTTTTGTATTTTTAGTAGACACAGCATTTTGCCATGTTAGCCAGGCTGGTCTCAAACTCCTGGCCTCAAGTGATCCGCCTGCCTCAGCCTCCCAAAGTGTAGGGATTACAGGCGTAAGCCATCACACCTGGCTGACATGTTATACTAACATTTGATACCTAATTAAAAATCAGACTCACCTTCCACAGGAAATTCCTACAAATTCTCCATCACTAGGGTCAGTTCCCAGGGATGAGAAGCTTAAAATATGTCCCCAAAATGAGCCCCTATACGACCCCTAGGCAACTACTAATCTGCTTTCTCATTATACTTTGTAGTTTTGTGATTTTAAATAAATGGAAGCATACAGTATGTATTTACCTGGCTTCTGTCACACAACATTGAGATTCATCCATGTGGTGTGTACCAATTTTTAATCTCCTTTTTTTTTGAGACAGAGTCTCGCTTTGTCCCCCAGGCTGGAGTGCAGTGGCGCAATCTCGGCTCACTGCGAGCTCTGCCTCCCAGGTTCACGCCATTCTCCTGCCTCAGCCTGCTGAGTAGCTGGGACTACAGGTGCCTGCCACCAGGCCTGGCTAATTTTTTGTATTTTTTAGTATTAGTAGAGACAGGGTTTCACTGCGTTAGCCAGGATGGTCTCAATCTCCTGACCTCATGATCCGCCCGCCTCGGCCTCCCAAAGTGCTGGGATTACAGGTGTGAGCCACCACGCCCAGCCTTTTGTCCCCTTTTTATCGCTAAATAGTATTCCACTGTATGGTTATACCATAATTTATCCACTCAGTTACCAATGGATATTTTGGCTATTACAAATAAAGCTATGAAAATGTGCGAGCTACTCCTCATGTGGACATATGCTTTCGTTTTTCTTGGGTAAATAACCAGGGGTGGAATGGCTGAGTCATATAAAATGTGTATGTATAACTTTCAAGGAATTGTTCAGCTTTTCTACAGCAGTTGTAGCATTTAACATTGCCACCACCACTGCAGGAGGGTTTCAGATGCTTCACATCCTTAACACTTGATATAGTTTTTATTTTTCAAACTTAAAACAATTCTGAAAGGTATGTAGCAGTTACCTGGTTGTCATTTAATTTGCACTTCCTTGATGACTAATGTTGAGCATTACATTAAGCATCTTTTCATGCACTTATTTTCCATCTCATATATATCCCAGTTCTTTACAGATACAAATACTTTGTTGGCTATGTTCTACAAATATGTTCCCCCAGTCTGCTCTTGCCTTTTCATTTGCTTGTCTTTCAGAAAGTTTTTATAATTTACAAAGTTAAATTTAAAGTTTATGCTTTTTTGTTTCCTATTTTGAGAACTCTCTGCCAAACCCAAAGTCACTAAGAATTTTCTATATAATCTTCTAGAAGTTTTATGGTTTTAGCTACTACCTTAGTTTTTTAATCCCCTTCAATTCCCTCTCCTTTTGCTCCACACCATCAAATCCTGGCATTTTACAAAAATACTTTCTATTTGCCGAGTCCCTATTCTACTTACCTATTTTCTTTCTTAAGCATGCTAAAGGCCTCTCAGCTGATTCTCCTCGTGCTCTAATCCAGAATATTCTTCAATTCCTTTTTTAAAATTAATTCATCTATTCTTTAATTCTATCTTTAGGCTAGTGATCCAAACCTGAAACATACAGAGCCACAATAACGTAACTGCCACTAGCTTCTTGTAGTGACTTAAATCAAAATGTCCATACCTCATTCACAATAGCCACACTTCAAGTGCTAAACAGCCACACAGGAATGGCTACCATACTGTACAGCAGATATTCTCATCATCCCAATAAGTTCTACTGGACAATGTTGTTATAGATTAATAATAGCTTCCATTTTTAAGGCACTTAGTCCAGACACTAAAGGTTTTAATCTTCATGATAACACTGTGAGGCAGGCTTTATCTCAGTATTAAAGAAAATTAAGGCCAGGTGCAGTGGCTCACGCCTATAATCCCAACACTTTGAAGGATGAAGCAGGCGGATCGCTTGATGCCAGGAATTCAAGACTAGCCTGGGCAACGTGGCAAAACCCCGTCTATACAGAAAATTAGCCGGGTGTGGTGGCACGCACCTATAGTCTCAGCTACTTGGGAGGCTAAAGTAGGAAGATCACTTGCGCCCAGCAGGTGGAGGCTGAAGTGAGCTGAGATTGCACCCCTGTACTCCCGCCTGGGTGACAGAGTGAGACCCTGTCTCAAAAAAAAAAAAAAAAAAAAGAGAGAAAATTAAGGTTCTGTAAGGATACTTACCTCAAACAATCCTTTCAAAAGCTTGAGGCCAGGCGTGGTGCCTCACACTTGTCATCCCAACACTTTGGGTGGCCAAAGTGGGCGGATCACTTGAGGTCAGGAGTTCGAGACCAGCCTGGCCAACATGGTGAAACCTTGTCTCTACTAAAAATACAAAAATTAGCCAGGTGTGGTGGCAGGCACCTGTAATCACAGCTATTCCGGAGGCTGAGGCAGAATCACCTGAACCAGGGAGGCAGAGGTTGCAGTGAGCCGAGATGGTGCCATTGCACTCCAGCCTGGGCAACAAGAGCAAGACTCCGTCTCAAAGGGGGTTAAAAATGCATAAAGCATGACATTGCTCTTTATTGCCAATTTATACAAAACTACTTGTATGCCTCTCACAGAACTTTAATTCCAGTGCTGCATACCCCTAGTTTGTACTTTTCCTCCTTTAAAACTTAGTATATATGGGAAATCCCTGATGAATCTGACCCTACTCTTATTCAATATTTACATACTTTGCACTACACCAATATGTGAAATAGAAAAGCTCCATAATTTTCAGCTATTCCTGTTTTTTTCTGTCGAACTTTCACCCACTCCTCACTTTGTTCCTCTAGGATTATTATTATCATCCATCATTTTAAGCTTCCAAGAATAGTCTGATCCTGCTAGCCAGTTGAGCCTCTCACTGGCTAATCACATTCACTTGAAAAGCTTTTGGAAAAAAGATTCTCATGCTCCATTCCATAAAACTACCTGTTAATATCAATAGTGTCTACAGTGAGCTTGAGGTACAACAAAGTTTGGGAGTTAAAACCTCAGCTATCTCAGTCTAAATACTTTAAGTTCGTTTTTTCCTTGTTTTCTCCAAGGTAGTTAGCAAAAGAATGGAAAGAGAACAACATAAAAGCATAGAAACAGACAAATTTTCTACACATACTCCTTATACTTCATTATTCTAAGTTATACACAATGTTCAACAGGAGTTTGAAGTTTATTTAGTAATATACATAAGTCATGGCTGACAACTGAGAAAATCCTATTTACATAAACCATCATAGTTTAAAAATACATAGTATTTGTACTTTAATACAATAGGGTCCCAGGATTCAAACAAGGAAGCTTGATTCCAGAATTGGCATTATGTAGTTACGTACTCTGCTACAAAGAACTAGTGGAGGTAAACTTCGGCAGTAAAATTCTCAACAGTCAAATATTAATGCATTTCATAGACATGGCTTTGCATCCGTAGAGGAAGATACAATTCCTTCAGCACATGTGCCAATTTCTGAGTCTTCCCCTACAGAATCCTCAACAGTATCTTCTTCAGAATCAAATTCCTGATTATCCAGTGATTCAAATTTATCCAGAGGTTCACCATTCAGTCTCTTAAAGAATAAACCAATAATTTATTGTAAAAATGTTAAAACCTAAGTTGATCAGCATATTGATATAGCTGACCCGTATAGCATACCAATATAGCTATGAGATTTTTTTCATCTTGCCCCTCAATAAATTCATTTATAAACAGTGTGATATCAAAGTCTCTACCACACTAGATTATAGTCAGCAAAGTGTTTAATAATTTGCCTTTTTTTAAAAAAGCACTGAAATGATTGCAGACTATAAACAGGTACTTTCCTAATCAGCTGCAGGGACAACTAGGTGTTCTACATTTCCAATCAGCTGTGGATTAATACTTTTAAGGCAGTTAAGAGAGTTACCATAGTATTTCCAAATGAAAACTCCAAACATTAATTCTATCATGGGTCTCAAATGTAAGGTCACAATTCAGTTACATGAAAAGTTTTGATTTGAAAAACTTTCTTCCTATCAGCAAGACAAACTTTTTGCAAACATGAATAAATAAATCTTAAAACCTTTTTAAGGTCAAGTCTGATAAAGCAACACTTAACAGGCTAATTCTTAACAAACACATTAGCTACTTACAAAATGTTTTAAAGTCAGATAAAACCACAAAACTTATTTAGTGTACAAATTAGCAATTTTATAAATGACAGTAATGTCAAACTGGTATTAAAATTAAAACTATCTAAAAATGTGTCAACTATGAAATAATTTTCTATACCTATTTTCCAGGGATAATTCCTTTTAATAACTCTTCCAAAAAAAGATGGTCTTTTGCTTCGTAATAATAATTAAGTTACTGAACTTTTACTCTCTGCAAATACTCCTTGCAACTGTCCATCTATTATAACTCATTTAATTCTCATAACAAGTCTATAAGGTAGGCATCATCATTACTCTCATTTTATGGATGAGGAAGATGAAGCCCTGACCGGATAAACCCACTCTACCCAGCAAACTTAATGGTGTTAGGAAGGAAGTTAAGTCTCAAATCCAGGAAATCTGATTCCAGAGCTCACACACTTCAAAGGGATCACACTATATACTACCTGAACTTTATAGACAAATACATAAATTTGAACCAGGTAACTATTAAATTACCTACCTCTATTAGCTCTGCCATATACTGTACATGTTCTGCTACTTCTGCCAATTCTTTGTTCTCCTTTTCCAGGCGGGCAATTTCGTTGTCCTTTTGTTCGATTTCTTTATGAAGCTATATTACATAAATAAAGTTCAGTATTCTATAGATTTGCTGTGCCATAAATCAAATTACATGCCTCCAAGTATATAACATGGAAGACATGCAGCATAGAATTAACTCTCAATACAACAGGATTCATTTTGTGTAATTCTGTCAAGAGCTGCCTTTTTACTTAAACTTTTCTTAAGCCAATATTAAAGCCAGCTCATATTGCTCTAACAAAATATGCTAAGCAGCAAGAGTAAAACAATCCTGGAATTTTTAAAAATGGTACAAATGATACTCAATACATACTTTCTCATTTTCCTTAAGTGCTTCATACAGCGCCTTCCTCCGTTTTTCTGCCACTTCTTTCCAATATTGAGAGGATGGATTTTCTAAAATAATATTTTACATATAACTTTAAAAATCATTACTGTCAAAACCCAGTAATTTGTTTCAAAAAAATTTCCAATCTTAGTACCCTCCCATATTGTTTAGTAATACTCATTTTTAAAAGATTAAAGTTAGAAAATAAAATCAGTATTCTTCTATTTTCCCCAACATTTCAAAGATTTCAATCCTTCAGAAGAATTACAACAAAAGTACAATAGGTATATCTCTTCCACCTAGATTATTAAAGATTTTTGCAACACATTTGTTTTGTGAGGTCATGTCTTTTTATGTAACAATGACATTTTTACAAAGTCCAATCAGTTATTTTGTACACTGTCCTGAATTTTTTATTTCTATCTCCATGATTAGATTCAAACTAAACATTTTTGGCAGGAATACTATATAAGTATAGTATAAGAATACTATGTAAGTATGTATCCTCAGTGTATCATCAAGAAGCACATGCCAATTTGTCATGATATTGAAGATGTTAAATTTGATCATTTGATTAAGATGCTATCTATCAGATTTCTGCCTTGTAAGGATAACTTTTTCCCTTAGTAATTAACTAATGATCTGTAGAGTAAAATATTTGAGACTGTCAATACCCTGTTCTCCAACAACTTTTTACCTAAGTTTAATGCCATTGATGATTGATGTTTCCGGCTTTTATCTATTACTTATACAGCGGATGGAAAATCGATTTTTTTCACTTATGTAATTCCTTCTACATGTAGTAGTTAGCATTATTCTGTAAATAAAAACTTTTCCTACCCCAATTTAAAAGAAAATTTATCAGTATGGACTCATACATCCTTTTGTATTCAATGCATTATAATCCATTCTTGTCGTTATTCATTTTGATGCTCAAATTTTCCCAACTTTAGTCTGTGAGAATCCTTCCAAGATTACGTGTGTTCTTTCAACATGTCCACCCGTTTTTGAGTACTTCCTTATTTTCTGTCACAAGATAATCCATGATCACCTAAAGTTTCCCTGCCCCTGACCTGGAATCAGCAATTTCTCCAAGGAACTCTAGTGAAGAATAGTGTTTACAAACCAAGAACTGGATGCAGGGTGTGCTCCTTGCTACAGAGGTGTAGTGTGTTTCTACCTATTTAGGGGCAGTGCTAGGAAATGTAATACTTCAACATGTTACTCATTTGCTCAATCCTAAAATATACACAATTTTTTTTTCCTCAAAATTACAATAATACCACTGCCAACGAATATAACAAAGTTCAAACAACAAATGTAATAAAGTTTGAGATTTCTTTGCAATTATTTTAATTTTTACCATATATGCCAAAGGGTTACATGGATAATGTTTTCCACCTGTGGTTATATTAGCAGTATGATTATATAGTTATTTGTCTTGATATTTAACTTTAGTTTGTTTTAACTAATCCTTGATGTAATTTTTAACTTAATCAGATATGAGTGTCACAAATCCTGCTCTTTAATCTACAATATTTTTAAAGAGCTTCTTTATTTCTATCCAGTCAACCTTTCCTAATTTTTCCTAATAAAAATCGTACTGTCTACTTCTCTTCTTCCTGTCTTCAAGGCAATTCAAAATGAGCCCAAATGTTACTGTGACCTTGAGCAAGTCAATTAACTTCTCTAGGCCTCAATTTTATTATTAGTAATTAACATCCAATGACCTATAATTCACACAGAAATAATAATCTTCCATAATGCTTGTAAAACATCAGTTGCTTCTTCTGATGTATACTGCCATTCCATTAAAAACTAGTATTTATTACAGGCATAATTCTTCTCATTCATCTTCACTCTCTTCATCCATATTTTTATTGGTTTCCTTACGCCATACTCTCCTGGAATATTCAAATTCCTTTCATACTTCAACTTATTATCTAAACATTTTTCTTCTAAAAAACCTATTTCCAAGTCTTGTAAACTCTTACAAGGCAATCCAATATCAGAGCTGTCATATTAATAACTATCCTTTCCCCCCACCCTTTTCTTTTCCTTCAGAGACTGGGTCTTGCCCTGTCTCCCAGGCTGGAGTGCAGTGGTGCTATCATAGCTCATTGAGGCCACAAACTCTTAGGCTCAAGTGATCCTCCTGACTGAGCCTCCTGAGTAGCTGGGAATACAGGCACAAGCCACCATGCTCCGCTAATTTTTTCATACAGATAGAGCCTCACTGTATTGTCCAGGCTAGTCTCAAACTTCTAGACTCAAGCCATCCTCCTGCCTCAGCCTCCTAAATTGCTGGGATTACAGGCGTGAGCCACTGCACTGGGCCTCCTTTTCCTAACATTTCATCCACACATGGATCTTGTCAAACAAATGGTCACACAAAAACCTTTATAGTGCTGTTATACTAACCCCAGATTACGGTAATTGGCAGAATTCATAATAGTATTAACAAATTCTTCCTTATATCATAATTTAAAATTTTAAGACAAAAGTTATCTATTTTTTCGTACCTTTAATCATAAGATCAAATGACTCCTGGGTGACTCCTCCAAGATTTTTATTTTCACTAGATTCTGGGACAATAACCCCAGGGCTGGAAGTTGTAGATGTTAACTGGTCATTCCGATGTTTCCTTTTGGATAAGCCTGTGGACAGCTATAATGAAAACACTTATCAACGGTATTTACTTTGATTTAATTAACAAGAAATTAGGTGGTTTTTCATTTATGTATTAAAAAAAGAGAACGCGTATCTTTTTTACATCTCTGGATCTTTAAAAAAGTTATACAATTAAAAATTCTACCAAAATGTATAGTAACATTTTAGGAATTTTATTTGCAACAATTATTTTGGATTAGACTGGGGTCTAGAGCTTAGCTGAAATTATTTATTTTTTTTAATTTTAATTTTAATTTTTTTTTTTAGACGGAGTCTCACCCTGTCACCCAAGCTGGAGTGCAGTGGTGTGATCTCGGCTCACTGCAACCTCCACCTCCCGGGTTCAAGTGATTCTCCTGCCTCAAGCCTTCCGAGCAGCTGAGATTACAGGTGTGTGCCACCACACCCGGCTAATGTTTTTGTACTTTTAGTAGAGATGGGGTTTCATCTTGTTGGCCAGGCTTGTCTCAAGCTCCTGACCTCAGGCAACCCACCCACCTCGGCCTCCCAAAGTGCTGGGATTACAGGCGTGAACCACCATACCGGGCGAACTTCTTAAATTGAACAATTAAAACCAGAATCACTTCTTTGGGAAATATATAATTGTTATTCCCAAATTATTTTCAAATTTCAACAATTTATGTGTTTCTGACCAAGAGAATAGTAGAAATGTTTTTAATGTAGACATTGTATCACCAGTACCCTATTTTAGCCATATAGTGCATACCTCATTTTCTCTTCCAACAAGAGATCCAGATGCAGAAGGCTGAATCATCTTCAGAGTTCTTCTTTGGATAGAACTATTCTAAAAAGTCAAGATAATTCATTATCTTGTTACTGAGTTGCAATATGGTTATTTAGTTACTGAGTTTCTGTATGGAGTGTTACTCTTAGTCCTTCTATAATTTAGGGGGGGGGAAAGAAACACTAAGAATACAAACATTTGGTCAGCTATATAATTTTATAAGGTTACCTATGAACAAGACACTGGTTTAATCAACTGACAAACTTATTTCCAAAAATTACAATAAAGTTTGAAGAATTCTTAAGAATGAATCATATTACCCAAACTAGACACAAACACACGTAACTTCTCTCATTTCAATGTATGCTCTTGCTATGGTCATTTTGTTAATCATATCTAGTTAAAACAAACATAACAAAATTCCTCAGCTCCAATGAACAGTTCAAACCATGTATGACAAAATTCTAATACAAGAAGGATATCTGTATTGTCTCTGAAAAATCTTCCACACAAAAACTAAAATCTTACAGGTACTCTTTCATAAAACCAAACATCGTAACATTTATGGTATGAACTCACCAAACAGGTCAACTGGGAGAAAAGGTTAATCATTTACACTGTAAAATATTTCTTTCCCTAATCAAAAAGATTCATCTCAGGCCTCCTTAAATCATGAATATCCCCCAAATACTTATATGTACTCACCAAAATAATGTAATTTTCCAGAACATACTTTACACAAAACAAAGTACATGTGTAATAGACATCCCCCCTCAACCATTACCTGATAGTAGAAGCAGTTCTGCTTCAAGCCCATTCATTAGAAGGCGGCTAATATGTCAGTGCCTGAGGCATACTAAACTACTCTAAAATGCCCAAGCTATTGTTTTGGTAAAAATATTGCCTTCCTTGTAATATGTAAATAACTTCCTGTATATTTCATGACCTGAAAGTTCTCTCTTATTTTTGCAAAATATCATTAGTTATACTGCCACCATGGGATAGCAAACAATGGTGAATACTCAAACAAGGTTAGCAAGAACATGATACCACACCAGCGTGAGAAAGTTACTGATTCCACACTGTACCTCACATGACAAGAGTTCACCTTTCCCACGGTCAAGTTGCTACTGCTGATTATTATCTCACCATTTAACTGAAGGACAAACGCCAGCTACTGTGAGAACAAATATTATACCAACATTTCAGATATAATTTAGATTATAGATTAGTCAACAGTCTGCAGACAAATAAAAGAAAATGTAACGTTGGAACCTTACTAGTAAGAGGTGTTAATTTATTTAAATGCTTGCTGTTAATAATGGTCAAAGAAGCAAGCTAAATTACTGTCACCAAAAAAAAAAAAAAGACCATTTCCAAGATTTAACTTTTATTTACATAAGCTGTATAGGCCCAAAACAATGTAATATTATTATTATTATTTTCTGTATATAGAGTATGCATTGGAATAATAGACTCTTAAAGCCAGAAAGTTTCTTGTATATTAATGGGTCTTAACCTTTTTGGAAAACTATTTATGTGAATCCTCTCCCGCAAAAAATTCACATAAAAGCACATTCACACAGAATTTTGCATACAACTCACAATCATCTAGTTCTAGTCCAGTTCCCTCAATTTACAGATGAGTAAACTGAGGCTGAAATGCTAACCCACCCAAGGTCTCAGTTTTGGAGGTAGAACCAAAACCAAACAGAACCCAGTAACCTTTATATTCAAGATAGTTTTACTGTAGCTAGTAAACACAAGACTTTTTAAAAAATGTAATCTGCTGGAAATATATAAATTATTTGGCTGTGATTTGCTTCAAACTAATCCACTGAAGGAAAAGTGGAGTAAATAAGGACACAGATGAAACCAAATTGGCCATATAGTGGTAATTGCTGAAGTTGAGGAAGTAAATTAAAATACTGACTCTACTTTTAAATATTTCAAAAATTTCATAACAAAAATTTTAAATAATCACACACAAAGGACTGTGGGAAGATGCCATCATCCTAAATGGAAGCTAATGGAATCAAATTCACAAATTGTCAATGCGAACTATTATTCAAGAAAAATAATGTAAGAATCCTAAGAAAAGCAAGGCAAACAAAAAACCCTTCAAAAGGTACTTGCTTATACTTATCAATGGCTTTTAAGTACTCGATTTAGCTTACTTAATATTAAAACTTTTTTTTTAGGTACAGGGTCTTACTCTGTCACCCAGGCTGGAGTACTTGCTTATACTTATCAATGGCTTTTAAGTACTCGATTTAGCTTACTTAATATTAAAACTTTTTTTTTAGGTACAGGGTCTTACTCTGTCACCCAGGCTGGAGTGCAGTGAAGCAATCACAACTCACCGAAGCCCAAACTCCTAGGCTCAAGCAATTCCTCCCACACCTCGGCCTCCCAGTAGCTGGGATTACCAGTGGGTGCCACCACTGGTAAAAATTATGGTTTTTTTAGAAACAAGGTCTCCCTTTGTTGCCCAAGCTGTTCTCAAACTCTTGAGCTCAATCAATCCTCCTACTTCAGCCTCCCAAGTAGCTGGGATCACAGGCATGAGCCACCATGGGCACCTGGCTCTTTATTTAATTTAAACCCATAAATTGATAATTTTCCTGAAGATGTGGTCCAATTCCCAAGGTATTCATACTAATTTGTATGGAAGGACCTAGCTAATTGTAAATTCACTTAGAACCATAAATATGAATCTAGTCAAAATTATAAACCCAAAACTAAACAAACTCTGTCCTGTTGTCATAACAATAAATACTTGGAATAAGATTTCCAGTGAAACTATCATATAGGGATTCAAAAAGTATTGCAAATCAAATAGGTTAGATGGTAATGAATACGGTATACTCTAGAAAAATGTGTAATATAATGCAAAACATGTCTGTGGTCAAAGACCCTTAATTCTGAAGATATACACAAGGGATTTTAATAACATCATTTCATGAAGAGTAGAAACAAAGGAGTAAATCTTATACATAGAAAATCCTAAAGATACTTCTGGAATCTTCACAGAGAAAATTCAAAAAGAAAAGAAAATCCTGAAGAATCTACTAAAAAACAATTAGAACTAATAAACAAGTTCAGTAAGGTTTCAGGACACAAAATCAAGATACAAAAGTCAACTCTTTTCCTATGCAGTAGCAATGACCAAATGAGAATGAAATTAAGGAAACAGTTCCATTCACAATAACCTCAAAACGAATACTTAGGAAAAAATTTAACACAAATTGTGTAAAATTCATGCTCTGAAAACTACAGACTACTGTTGAAAGACCAAAATAAGAGACAACCCACATTCTTGGGTCACACTTAATATTCTACCGTAATTAGTCTTTTTAAAACGTTCTCTATTGTTACTCATCCTCTGACTAACTCAAGGCTTACAGCCAGGCTAAATTTGGCTAAATCATGTCAAAATACTTTTATTTTAACCCCATGCTTTCTACAAAAGAAATTAAAGTTATTCAATCACATACCTTTACATTCTCTTTGATTTCTTCTTGTTTCTGCTTCATACTGGGATTCATTATGTAGATGGTGCAGCACAGAAGACTAGTAATTAGAAAACAATATGGTTTGCACCCCTGAAGGTGGAGTCTAGGTTTAAAATACTTACAATCATAAAAATTATACTATTGTACAGTAGAACTATTATTTTTTCTCTCTTAATCCAAACTCAGCCCTGTCAATGACTAAGGTGACTAAAGTTAATGACTCTTGATATCTATATTTTACATATATACACACATAATAATTATGTCTGAAAAAATGAAATTAATGTATTTTAAACCAATTTTTAAAACTGGTTTAACATTTCTAAACGTATTGTCCTGGATTAAATACAGGGCTCTCAAAGATCTGAGAAACAGTCACCAGAAATAGCAAAATATACAGACACTAGGGTATGCCCAGGTCCATCCTAAAGAGCAACATCTTAACTTTCCTGCTTCAAAGACAGATTTAAGGTATAATAAACTCGGCTCTGACAATAACTTAATACTGACTTAATATCAGGTCAAATGAGATCATGCATTTACATCTGTAGGAAATGTTTAACCAGTAACATGAACTGAAGTACTAACAAGCAAGAAAGAGGGAAAAGGTAGAAAGGTATATATGTAATGTGATTAACTAGACCACTGGCCAAACTCACAACAAACTCAGCATCTGAACTGCTCCTCCACTGCCCACTACCCCCCACCGTGTCTGCGCCTGTGCCTACTCGATAGATGTCCCTAATTTTTGTGGCCATGCCTTTACTCAGTGCAGTGGCTTTTCTAACATTAATACATTTTACCTTGTGTCCTGGCGCGCGCGCACACACATGTGCAAACAAAAAAGCTGAGGACAGGCCGGGCGCGGTGGCTTACATCTGTAATCCCAGCACTTTGGGAGGTCGAGGCAGGCGGATCGCCTGAGTGACCACCAAAGTGCTGGGAGGTCGAGGCAGACGGATCACCTGAGGTCAGGAGTTCGAAACCAGCCTGGCCAACGTGGTGAAATTCCGTCTCTACCAAAAATACAAAAATCAACCGGACACGGTGGTGCTCGCCTGTAGTCCCAGTTACTCGGGAGGCTGAGGCAGAAGTATCGCTTGAAGCCGACAGGTGGAGGCTGCAGTGAGCCGAGATTCTGCACTCCAGCCTGGGCAACAGAGTGAGACTCCGTCTCACAAAAAAAAAAAAAAAGCTTAGAAAACAAAACAATCTAATTTGTGCGGGCACCCTGCTATTTTCTACTGCATTTAATGTTAAGAAAATGCGGTTTGGGCCCCAGTAAACAGACCCCAGGCAATGTTCTTCAAACTGTGGGTCGTGGGTCGTGATCTCAAAATCATTTAGTTAATCATGAGCAACACTGCTTAGAAAAATGCAACTGAACAGAATGGAATTGAAAAGATGAGAAATAGTGCTTCCATCAACGTCTCAGTTGGTTAGATGGCTGTGTCCTAGGTTGCGATGTAAAATGTACTTTAGTATGAAAAAAGCTGAAAACCACTTAGCAGTCTAATCCTTCACAAGTTTCCCACGCCTATCAGCGACCTTGCACCCTTACTTGCTTGTTATTCTCTAGTTTCTTTAATAGCTAGATTAAAAACCCCGGCATAGGACAGGGATCCATGCGAACCTCGTATCAGCAACGCCAGTATCCGTTTAATGGGAGACGCAGAATTCAGCGACCTCTTCCCATGAGCCAAATTTGCAGATCCCTCAGATCAGGACCAGCCACTTAACTGCCAAGAGGATGGATGCCTAGCCTCATCCCCACAGCTAGGCACGCCCAGGCTGAGTCCCTCACCAGCGTTGCACTCCCCAAGCCCGGACCCAGCCAGCTGGTCCCGGAGGCCCAGCGCCAGGCTAGGGGGCGGGCAGTGTGGCCCCGCGCGCCCGACCTACCAACCGCGGCGCGCGACCCGGGAACTGCGCCAGCCAGCCAATAGGGAGCGTGGAAGTGAGAGCGCGCCAAACCCGACCCAGCCAATGGGGCAGTCCCTTGACTCACCTCCTTACCCTGCCGCGCCACCAGCGACCGTTCAACAACCCCTTCGCCCTTACCCCGGCCGCGGCCCCGCAGCTGTCAAAGTAGGACGCGGCTTCAGAGGGTGGCCGGAACGAAACCGAGTCGTCTAGGGGCTGTGCACCTTGCGCCCCTGCGTACCCACTTCCTGCCGCCTCTTGCACACTTACTAGGTGGAGACGCTCAATCCTCGTAGCGAACGCTGTGGCTGCAGCACCTCGAAAAAGACCACAGCTCACCTACGCTGATCCCCACTGTCGCTGGAGTGTCCCGCGCGCTCTGCAGCAAAGCCCCACCAACTCTGCTTGCCAGCGCCGAACAACCACGTGACCAACTGACGCAGCGAGAGGCGGGGCCTCTGGAATCCCGCGAATCGCCTCTCCCCTCGGTCCCGCCCCTTCCTGCGCCTGCGCGGTCGACAGTAGCGAGTACTAAGACCGTGGGGATTTTCTGCTACCTGGGAAGTCTGTGCCCTTTGACCCTCCCCTCTGACCCAGCTCTCGGAACTTCCTTAAAATGCAAAGTTTTAGCCCTTTACGAAAGGGAGAAAGATTTGCCTCCATTAGTCGTTAACACCGGAAGAACAAAATATTGTATGTGCATATGTATTAATATGTAGTACACGACATACATTTGTGTAAAGCCCTGGCTCCACGGACTCGTAGTTGTATTAGGGGCTTTTATATTTTGGCTTTTTGTGTTTTGACTATGGTATGGTGCAGGAGGAATTGTTCAGGGAGACAATGATCAGTTAATCCTGCAGCTATTCATTGAGCGCCTTATACCTGCCAATTACTACTGTTCTAGGCACTGAAATTACAACTGCTGTTGCAGTTTGAAGGAGCAGAAACATCTTGGTAATAATTACGTCTAGCCTTTTCTTTATTTGTTTTTTTTATTATTATTATTTTTAATTGAAACGGAGTCTCGCTCCGTCACCCAGGCTGGAGTGCAGTGGCACGATCTCGGCTCACTGCAATTTCTGGCCCCTGGGTTCAAGCGATTCTCCTGCCTCAGCCTCCCGAGTAGCTGGGATTAGAGGTGCCTCCCACCACGCCCGGCTAATTTTTGTATTTTTTAGTAGAGACAGGGTTTCACCACGTTGGTCAGGCTGGTCTCGAACTCCTGACCTCGGGTGATCCACCCGCCTCGGCCTCCCAAAGTGCTGGGATTACGGCCTCCCACCGTGCCCAGCCTGCCTTTTCTTTTCTTTTACTTTTTTTTTTTTTTTTTTGGAGACGGAATCTCACTCTGTTGCCCAGAGTGGAGCGCAGTGGCGAAATCTCGGCTTACTGCGACCTCCGCCTCCTCGGTTCAAGCGATTCTCTGCCTCAGCCTCCCGAGTAGCTGGGATTACAGGCGCCCACCACCACTGCGCCCCGCCTGCTTTTTTTTATTTTATAAAATTATCAACCAGGCTTGGTGGCTCACGCCTGTAATCCCAGCACTTTGGGAGACTGAGGCGGGTGCAGCACCTGAGGTCAGGAGTTGGAGACCAGTCTGGCCAACATGGAGAAACCCCGCCTCTACTAAAAATACAAAAATTAGCTGGGCATGGTGGCAGATACCTGTAATCTCAGCTACTGAAGAGGCCGAGGCAGGAGAATCTCTTTTTTTTTTCTTTTTTTTTTTTTTTTTTTGAGACGGAGTCTCACGCTGTTGCCCAGGCTGGAGTGCAGTGGCGCGATCTCGGCTCACTGCAAGCTCCGCCTCCCGGGTTCCCGCCATTCTCCTGCCTCAGCCTCCTGAGTAGCTGGGACTACAGGCGCCCGCCACCGCGCCCGGCTAATTTTTTGTATTTTTAGTAGAGACGGGGTTTCACTGTGGTCTCGATCTCCTGACCTCGTGATCCGCCCGCCTCGGCCTCCCAAAGTGCTGGGATTACAGGCTTGAGCCACCGCGCCCTGCCAGAATCTCTTGAACCCGGGAGGTGGAGGTTGCAGTGAGCCGAGATCGCGCCACTGCACTCCAGCCTGGGTGACAGAGCAAGCCTCTGTCTCTGAAAAAAAGAAGAAGAGGAAGAGGAAGAAGAGAAGAAGAAGAAGAAGAAAGAGAAGGAGAAGAAGAAGAAAATCATATTCTTAAAGCAGACAATCCATTGACTGGAAAACTATCAAATGACTGGGTTTCCAGAATAAGAATTCTGGTTAGCAGGCCGGTCGCGGTGGCTCACGCCTGTAATCCTAGCACTTTGGGAGGCTGAGGCAGGCGGATCACGAGGTCAGGAGATGGAGACCATCCTGGCTAACACGGTGAAACCCTGTCTCTACTAAAAAATAGAAAAAATTAGCCGGGCGTGGTGGCGGGCGCCTGTAGTCCCAGCTACTCGGTAGGCTGAGGCAGGAGAATGGCGCGAATCCGGGAGGTAGAGCTTGCAGTGAGCCAAAATCTTGCCACTGCATTCCAGCCTGGGCGACAGAGCGAGAATTCGTCTCAAAAAAAAATTTTAAAAAGGAATTCTGGTTAGCAGTGGTAAGCAAAAGCAATGTCGTTTGACTTTGAAACACCAACTAGTCAAAATAGTAAATCTAACTTCCACAGTTTGTTCATTCATTCATGATAAACATAAAGCTTATAGTTCCTCTTCTTGCTATAAAGGAGTATTTTCATTTTGGGTTTCAAAGCAGTGAGTATTGATGCTGAGAAGTTTATTATTGCAAAAGACATTTTGGTCTGCTAGTTGTTATATTTTTGTTTTCGAAGAAAATCTCTTTGTTCTAATTAACTCACTAACAATAAAATCACAACAACTGGTTTAAGGAGGCCACACAAACATTTCCCCAGACCCAAATTCTATACCATCTCAATGAAATTCCACACAATAGGGAAATCTTCTTCCATTGCAATTCTGAAACAAGAAAGCTATGAATCACAGAGGAAAGGTTTAAATGATGGTTTTACACTTTATACCTTCACTATCAATTATACTTTTATGCTAAATTTACTTGATCATGAGAGCTAGTTTTCCATTTCTTCAATTTGCACTTTTTGATTAGGCTAATCTCCCTATGTCTCTGCACATCTTCCTTCTATGCACGTCTCTGTGTCCGAATTTCCCCTTTTTATAAGGACAACAGTCAGATTGCATTAGGGCTCATCCTAATTAACTTCATTTCAATTTGATTACCTCTGGGGTGTTAAGACATCAACAGGTGAATTTGGGAACACAATTCAACCTGTAACAGAAAGCTTTTCAGTTTTTGCATTCTACACTTCTCAATTGCTTGTTCCTCACTTCAGAGTGGGAGGAAACAGTATAGACTGTACAAAGAAACTACCTGTGCAGTTCTTCCCAGTTGTGTGGACCTCTTCCTTTTTTATGGTCACTGCAACTTTACTGTCTGTGTAGCATGCTGAGCAGATCCTACTTGTTAAAGAGCTTTCAAGAGGTGAAAACCCCCTCACTTTGAAAGTCTGTTTATCATGTTCATAATGAAACATAAGAATAACTTCTGAGAAAGTTTTGATATGTGAGATCCAGATTTTAAACTTTTGACATTATACATCACCAGTCTCAGGAAGGTCTGTCCTCTGTAGTAATGCTTGTGAAAACACAGGATGTATTCCAAAAACAAATTTGTCAGAAAATTTTTTGAATAATGTAAAAATAATACAAGAGACATAGGCTATTATTCATGGACATTAGGAAAAGGGGGGAGGATCATGGAATATGAATGGAAGTAACAGCATATGTGTAAGAAACCAACAAAAATCTTGAGGTAGGCTGGGTGCAGTGGCTTACGCCCATAATCCACTGTCAGAGGCGTGTAAACTGGAGCAACTCTATCTTGACTAGGAGCTGGGTAAAATAAGGCTAAAACCTATGGGGCTGAATCCTCAGACAGTTAAGGCATTCTAAGTCACAGGATGAGATAGAAGGTTGACACAAAATACAGGTCATAAAGACCGTGATGATAAAACAGGTTGCAATAAAGAAGCCACCAAAATCAAGATGGTGACAAGAGTGACCTCTGGTTGTCCTCACTGCTACACTTCCACCAGCACCATGACAGTTTACAAATGCCATGGCATCGACAGGAAGTTACCCTATATGATCTAAAAAGGGGAGGCATGAATAATCCACCCCTTGTATAGCATATAATAAAGAAATAACCATAAAAATGGTCAACCATTAGCCCTCAGGGCTACTGTGTCTGTGGAGTAGCCGTTTCTTAATTCCTTTACTTTCTTAATAAACTTGCTTTTAACTTTATGGACTCACACTGAATTCTTTCTTAAGAAAGAAAACAGCTGAGGTCAGGAGGTTGAGACCAGCCTAGCTAACATGGTGAAACCCCATCTCTACTAAAAATACAAAAATTAGCTGGGTTTGGTAGCACCCACATGTAATCCCAGCTACTCGGGAGGCTGAGGCAGGAGAATCGCTTGAACCCAGGAGGTGGAGGTTGCAGTGAGATGAGCTTGTACCACTGTACTCCAGCCTAGGTGACAGAGGAAGATTCCGTCTCAAAAAAAAAAAAAAAAAAAAAAAAGGGAGAAAGAAAAGAAAAAAGAAAAATACTGAGGTAGTTCAATATTTAAGCAAAATATAAATTTATGAAAAATGATCAATTATTAGCAAAGACAAAATATGGCTTAATTTTTTCATTGTGAAGTGTCATAATGACTAAGTTAATCTATATTCTGAAGGCAAATGGACAAGAGTTTTAGTTCATTTTGTTCACTTACTTGTTTTAATGCTGGGGCTGTGTAATTCCTATAGAATAAGATATGAAGAACTGTCACAACCATGAAGCTCTGGCTACTGCTTTTGCTGTGTGCATTACAGTCCTTGTCTCTGACCCAGGAATCTCATAGAA